ATTATTTGTTGACATGGAGTACCCAAGATTATACTATCTGATCAAAGATCCAACTTTAGAGGTGACTTGATCAAAATCTTGTGTGAATAGTTCTTAATTAAGTATCATTTTTTATCACCATATTACCTACAAACTAATGGACTTGTGGAGCGATTTAATAGAACACTTTGTGAATCTCTTGCTAAAGTTAAAGATTCTGATGATTAGAATACTCATCTAAATATAGTTCTTTTAGCCTACCATACAAAAAAGCATGATACTACTGGATATACTTCTTTTCAATTACTATATGGAAAGCAGGCTACTCTTCTAATCAAAACTATTCTGCCTATACAAGAAACAGAAACTGATGAAATTGATCTACAAGGAAGTATATTACAACAAGCCTATGAACTTATTGACAAGCTATCTACTGCTCACAAACAAGCTCAACAAAATATTGCCAAGTCACAACAAAAACAAATTGCTTGGTATACCAAGAAGTTCAAGTATCATAACTTCAAAGTAGGAGATTTGGTTCTTGTTGCACACTCTGATATTGCTGCATCAAGATCAGTAAAGTTCGAAGAAAAATTTAAAGGTCCTTATTATATACATTAGAAATTAGGAAATGGTGCTTATAAACTACGAACTAAAGAACGTGGTCAAGTTCTCAAGCCATATTTTAATAGTCAACAACTAAAATTATACCATGATTGAACCTTATTTGAACCCACAATTATTATAAATTAGAAACAAAATATTAAATTATTAACTTAATAATTTATTCGTTAATTTTTATTTATTATTTATTATTTATTATTTATTATTTATTTATTATTTATTATATTAGTAGTACAACTTATTATTATTATTATTATTATTATTACTATCATTACTATTATTAACATTATTATTATTATTCTACGAACTATTCTAGATTTAAAATTTATTACTTTATTACTATTTACAAAATATTACAAAAATAACTTCTATTCTGTTCGTTTATATTTTGTCTCAACTCTTGGAGTTCATTCTCCAAGTTAGCAACCTAGTTCGTAACCTATTTCGTTTCAAAACCACTTGTCGACGATGGGTTTCACGTATATATTCTTCCCGTATTGCTTTAAAAGTCAAAGAATTTCTTGTCGCAACTATAGCTTCTAGATTTTGAATATGGTTGTATTGAGCAACTGACTGACCATGAACTGAATTTGTCTTTTCACGTTGAGGTATCTGAATATAAAACTTAATTAGAAACTACTTGTCTCTAAACACGTATACTAAAAACAATATTATAAAAATATATTAGCAAGACGCTTATCCCAAGAATACAACAAGCAAGGTCTATTACTTGCTATACCAGTAGAAATAAGTCCTTAACCTACTCGCACAAAGGACCACGAGTATCGAAAACAAAAAGAGAAAAAAGTATAAAGGGAAAATATCTACTTGGGCCAAATACATAGTGCACCAAAGTAGAAGACCGGTCAAGATCCCAAGTGTTTAAATTAGACGAGACTTAGTACACAGACTGAAAAGTATACATACCGTTGGACAACAAGCAAGAAACAAGTAGGAAAGTTTTTTAACAAGAAAAGTTTTTAAACGACAAACTATTAGAAAAAAAATAGCAAGGTTAAAAATATAAAAATAACAGGAACAAAGAGACAAAGGAAGGAGCTAAAAAACCAAAAGTCAGCGAAGGAAAAATTTAAGTTGAACGAAACAAAAACAAAAGGAATAAATAATAAAATTTGTTATTATTTCTAAAATAGAAGTCAATAAACAACTAGCCATAACAAACAAAGAATACAAGATGACGAGTGATTAGTGGATATAAAAATAGGAACAAGGAAATTTTTAACAAAGAAATAGAAAGAAACAGAAGAAAATA